TAAACAGACATGAAGGCTTCCAACTCTCATCAACACGTCTTAGTCACGGAATTGGCGAAAACACTTTCTGCAAATTGGTCGCGCTGTTGCTGTTGCTGTTGGATACGGTTGGTAGCGTACAGTAAGTACATGAACAGTACATAACCACATAGTACCTTGGCCGCGGAGCTTCGCCGCCCTCCTTCCCCCTCATAGTACCTCCCTCCAACCACCTACCCTCGGAGCAGCCAGCTACATCAATCCTCGCTCGTACGCACTATGTAGTACATGACCTACCCAGACAAGATGCAGACCGTTAAACACCGCCTGCCTGCGCATGCCAGATGCCTCATGTGTGGGTGTGTGTGCCTTGGGCATCAACGTGGCGTCGTGGCCACGACCATTGCCGCTCCTGGGCATCGCTCGGTTCGCGAGAACCCATGGCCCATGGGGTGTTTTGACGGGGGGCGCTGCCATGATCATCATGCGAGCCGCCCGCGGGGGAAGAGCGGGGAGGGGTGTGTTGAGATTGAAGGGAGCTGGGGTTGGGGGTTATTACTGTTGTGGACAACATGTATAATGTCATGCCATCGCTACATGGCGTGGCGGTGCATGGGGCCATTGGGTACATGGTAGAGCACGCATCAGATTCTCATAAACTACACAACCCACGCCCTCTGCAAGCTAAGAGGAAAAGAGAAAGAAAGAAAAAAACGTCTCAAGAACGAGCACGGGGATAAAAAGGGAAAATTCAAACTAAAAAAGAGGGACCGGGATCATGACAACGTGGTATTGGCGCTTCCCGCGTTTCCCAGGCGTGCGAGGGGAACGGAGGGAGGGGAGATGGGATTTCTACAAGGATTACGCCATGGAATATGGGGCTGCGGTGTTGTGTATAACTTGGTTTGTTGTTAGAGGAGCAACAGGAGGAGCAACAGGAATAGAGTTTCTCAACGGTCTCCCACCCCAGCTAGGGAGGTTAGGTACTCGAGTCAGTCAAGTCAGTCAAGTCAGTCAGTTGGTCAGTTGGTCAGTCGGGGTTGGAGGGTGCGAGGCTTGCCAATGCATCGCCGCACGCGCGCCGGCCATCCATGGCCCATCGCGCGCGGTAAAACTAGATACGCGGGCAAGTGGACAAACCGTTCCGAGACAAGAAAACGGGCCATCATGATGGCTATAGTACAATTCCAAACAAGGTACCGTCAAGGTTGAGGATTTGCAAGGACTGGTAAATGTCATCTCCGCGTCGTGTTGCACAGGCGGTCGCCGTCTCCAAGTTCGGTAGAGTACGTGCAGGCAAGCCGGCATTGCTTGCCATCATAACTCGTTGGCACGTATATTTTCATGCAGAGCGTCAAACTTTGTCTTAGGTTGACCTTCTGCAGCCCCAGCAAAACGGGGTGCGGGGTACTTTTTTTTCATTCTCTCTCTCTCTTGAACACTGCTTGCGGATGGTAGCTACCTACAGCCGGCAACCCTCACTTTCCTCAATGGAGGAGTCAGGTGGCCAAGATATCATGCACCCGCCTAGAGTCTGGACCGCCAATCTGCCTCAACAATTCTCCCACTTGAATTTTCTCATTGGCCAAAAACCCCTCTTTTCGGGACAAGCGGTGTACGACAATGGTAGATACTTGGCCGCAACGCCAAAAATGACCAGATGCGTGACGAACTGGGGAATACATCGAGGCCATGTGCGCGGACTGGCTGCACAAACTAACATGCATTGAGCAATCCCGTAAGATAAGTGGGGTTCTTTGGTATACAATCAGGAATTGAAGCTTTCTGCCGTGGTGCGTACAGTGAACGATTACGTCTGCTGACGACAACAACTGGGCGCACTGGCATGCCCGGTAGATCTCCCATCTAGCGGTGTGGAAGCTCGGCTCGGCTCAACGAACCCAGGGAGCACGTGTGAAAGAGATCATGGCGAGATGGCGAGATGGCGCTGAGGTTTCGGCATGGGGATTACAAAGACAATTAGCTCATGCGCTCCTCGAACAGTTCCTGAACGCCTTGGACCCCCAGCTCTGGAGCCAGACGGACCACGATTAGCTCCACAATCTGGTAAATGAGATGCTTATTGAGGTATGCGTCCTCGAACGAACTCAGGGTTTCTTTCATGTGCTCAAGTTGCACTTCCCGCTGAGATGTGGCAAAGTAGATGGTAGCCACTCGGACGGGCAGCAATGCCAAAAGCGAAGCAGCACATCGATCCTTGATCGCCCTCGCTTCTTCATCGGATGGAATTTGACGTGGAGGCCCCAGCGCGTTATTTGGGAACAGTGTCGCGCGGATGGTCCGAAGAAGAACAGGCACCAAAGCGGGGTTCAGGATTCGCGTATGGATAGCATGGGAAAGAAACCTGTTCATCTAGTTAGCAACAGAGACTGTGAGAAGTCGAATATACCGATTGGCGCGAAATGTCCCAGAGCAAACAATCCTTCTTAGGCATGACCGAGACCAGAGCGTGTCAGCTCGATGCAAGAAAGCCGCGGACAGGGGAGCCTACGCTGCCATTCCTGAGCCATATCGGATTCACGAAGAGACTTCGCAAAGTGAGGCGCAACCCCATGTCTAGCGAGATTGAACGCTCACACCAAGTTGAACGCGGGAGCCGAGAGTAGGATGTCGCAAAGTCAGCCCACTCCCGAATCTTTGGCGGCATTGAATGGCTGCCTCGATGCACAAGCGCGCAGGATAGCATGGCTGAACCTGTCGAGCAACGTCCTGGTCGAGTCGCGGACGATGATGCGTTACGGCCGCGATATTGCATGGACAATGTAGTGGAGGGTTTCTGTGCAGTTGCATTGGTGGCATCATGGCAGCTCCACGACCAACGCTATGACGAGGTTGCGGCCGGTCCCGAGTAAGTCTGACAATGAAGGCAGATCAACCGGCGCGTAAGCGGCCCTCCACTTAGGCTAGGATCGCGATAAGACGGCTTCAAACGCATTGGATGAGTCCCCGAAGCTAGAGCGGCATGCATCGTAACACGCGCTACGAGCGAGTGGTGACGCTACAATATTTCTTCTGTTTGGGTTGCAAGCATCGTGATGCAGTCCATGGTGTAGCTTCGAAAAGGATCATGTATGCCAAGGCAATCGTCCGAAACGTGTCGAGTTACCGCCCGGAACGGGTGCTAAGACTTGCATACGACGGTGCGCCATGACAAGGGTGTTGACGTGTGCGAGCGTGCGGGCCGTCGCATTCGCTGGTCCAAAGTCAAGTGACCAAAACCACATGCGGGGCTATTTCGTCGTGTGTCGCACGGCTCCAGGCAGTTGATATGGCCGACCAACCACGGCTGGAAGACGGCAAGGAGATGTTATCATAGCTTACCTATCCAATACACCATCCGTCTCACCCACTCTACCTGGGCCGACCAACGCTCCCATGTGGAGCATCGAGATGAAGCCCAACAGCCAAGGCATGCGGACATCCAGATCAGCAATTTGCGCAGCACAACTCCACAGCTTCATGCTTAGTATTGGCCGTTTATGTCCTTTCATTCGACCATTTGTTGCAGGACCCATATGAGGCAGTTGCGGTTGGCTCGGCGCTCCCGCAAATGACTGCTCGCAGGCGATGAATCTAGAAGGAAGCGATGGTACGTTCACCAGACTCGATACCACCACACGCAGCGCCATAAACGCCCAGAAGACATAGTGTACGGTGGTCCAGAACAGATCCAGGATAGATGAAAGCCTGAACTTATGGTGACCCTGGCCTGTGGTGGTAGGTAGTTTCCCAGGTGCGTACTTCTGGTCTCTCTGACCAGCTAACAGTCCGAAGCGTTCCAGACGGGCTAAAGGTTGCTTTGGATCATCATCAACCGACTGGGGGGACTCGTTCGTTTCATTGGTGTGTATGATTTCAGCGATTTTCGTAATGCATTCCCACAACAGCCAGCTTTCGCAAGCCTTTCCACTGATGCCATTCGCAAATATCATTTCGGCAAATATCTCGGCTACCAACGCGCGGAGGCATCCATTTTCAAGATCTTCTGTGGGTAGAATAATGGCGAGTAGTCCTTGGATAAGCAGTTGGCGCCATACAGACTCATTCTCACGTTGTTCAACGCTCGATCCTGGCACTCCCTCGCTAGGTACAGGTGAAAGTGCAGGGTGCGGGTGGAGGGTGTGGTACACCAAACGAGTATCCGAAACTAGTGAGCTTGTTGATACAGCTTGCGCTTTCGCTAAATGATACGCTATTGCCAATGTAATTAGACAAGATGAAGGTTCACAGCGGCAGTTTCAATTACCTACAGTTTAAATGGGCCTGGACCAGCTCGGGAATCTCGTCAAACAATAGTGCTTCCAAATCGACTTGTTGAAGACGTTGCTCAAGAGCTGTCGTGCAATGGGCAATGATTAGGATTATTTCGTTGACGAAGACCTGATCAGGGGTGATTTTTGAATACCACGCTTGCACAAAATCCCGGATAATCACTGAGATAATAGCGTATAGCTGGAGGTCGACTTCGTTCGAGCTGGTCAGTGGTGGCAATACCTCTTCGATGGGGCGTGGTGTGGTCTGTCCTTTCTCGCCATTTCCTAGTAGGACCTCGTGTGAGCAGAGAGTACGGCGAATAAATGCTGCAGTCGCCTTGTCCGAGGTGGTATCTGAAAGGTTCTTCTGGACCTCTACTGGACGCGCTGTCCCTGTTAGACGAGATCTATTTTGCATGTCGCTCTCCGTATTCTCCGTTGGATTCGTTGACATGGCTTGAGGATTGTGCAGGTATACATCTGATTTATGATGCGTACTTTCCGTCATCACAGCCTTATAATCATCGTAGAAGTCGATCTTAATTTTTCATACACGTGATAACGCCCTGATTTGAAGCAACATTGGAGTTTGTTGTGAGATACTCCAGGTAGGTAGTCGGGAAGTAAGTGCAATGACGTACCGGTACCAATGCGGGCGGAATATAGTTTGACCGCTCTTGGCGTTTTCTCTAGGTGGCCTCTGCACTTACCCTTGAGACCATGCGCTTTCAACGCATGCATGACACAAAAACCGCCAACATGAACACAGCAGGCTCCAACGGTAATTTAGAAGCTGACCGCACTGGAAATATGTATGCTGATAGCCTACGCAGCAGCAATAATCACCGTAGAGATGCAGCTCAAAGATATTGTACAAAATCTATACAACCTGATTGTACAGTCATATGATCACCATGGGGGCAAAACACAAGAAGCGATGAAGCGCGAGATGTATGCGGCATGCAAAAGTCTAGCTCAAAAGTGACAAAATTAACGGCGTTATAGTCAATCACTGGTCCAAAACTTGGTCAAGCTGTCGAGCACGGCGCCTTCGGTGCAAATTGACATCCCGCCGGAAGTAACAACTTACGTGGAGAATTCCAGAAATCCCGACATATTTACACGCGAGTTTGTGGAGACAGTTCAAAGGATGAATCAGATGCTAAATGGACGTGTCGACGCATACCGAATGCTACAAGATCAGCTCGCTCGACAAATCTCCAGCGTGATACCAGAACTCAAGGATGACGTAAACGCTGTCCTCCAATCCACTGGTGGAAATGTGCTGGCTTGAAGAGAAGGAGCATTCTTGACATCTGATATCCAAAACTAAGCTTGGGTTTTGCAGTTTGCAGACGTTGCGCTAGTTACTGCGTGGTCTCGGACCAAATCCTGCTGGGCTGACCTTGAAATACGAGCTGTAGTCTCTCGAATACTTCTGTCTGTCCCCATAAACACATTCACCACCCCGGTTTGTACAAGATTCACGTCTTCACCGGTGTAACGGTTCTATTCACTCCAGTTTCTGCGACCCGCAAGATCACCGGTTTGAAATAGGCGTCGTCCCTTCGCGCTTCCTCACATTACGTGAGTCAATACGACCATCACAATCTCTTTACACGTATGGAACGCTCGGCATATGCTGCAAGATGTATGTATTCGGTCCACACTATACTTGGATTGAACATCTACTTGGCGTCGAGACATACTATAGTATTACACACATGAAACCCTTCGCCGCAGCTTCACCACCACTCCCTGAAAAGTTTGCCCGGTTGCCGGCTTCGGCTGCCTATCCAAATCTCTGGGAGCGTGCGCGCACAACAGACTCAATAGCGAATACGACTACTGCACGAAAGAACGGGAGATTTACAGCGGAAACTTACCGAGGCCAGGCCCTCCTGCTTATGTACATACATAGTAGATTATACCCGCAAGGATCTGGGTTGCCGCGATATCACTAGACTCTTGAAATGAAATCAATACAAGTCTATATACGGCTTCGGGCCGTTTTTCCAATTGCGTTTGAGACCGACGAGGTGCCGCCATCCTTGCTCCCAACGTCAGATCATCGACCGCGCGATATTCCTGTTCGGATATCCCTGCTATACCTATTGCAATAGTCGAGCAGTCCAACATAGCAACTAGTACATATGTACTATCTCCGCCTTCAAGCTCACATCATCTCAGAGACGATCCCCCACCCGAAGCATCCCTTATATCACGGCTGTGTCATATTATGACCACATAGCGTGTTTGATTAGCAACAATTATTGCCGTCTTACAACAATTTCGCCGTGCCTTTGGAAGCCAAGACAACCGGACATTATTTCTATTTACGAAGACCACATTTTTTACTAATGATGCGCTTCGAGCGCTACAAAACGGTCAATCTACATGCCCTTCGCTTCATCAGATGATGTGACGAACGATAGTGACTCGAACCCATCAGATGGGTCGAGGTTTGGTACATGCACATGGCACAGGAACGAACAAGTGAGCATCCATCCGAACGTGCTTTCACGCCAAACCTGCCTGTTGTATTTTGGACTTCGCCCGGAACTGTCTTGGGTTTGGACATCATACCAAGTTCTTTCCTCGGTCTGTCTTTTTCCAGCTACATGAATGTTTTATGCATGGTATGCACATTGAAAGATGCCTTGTTTGTGTTGCTTTGATAGCTCCCTTAGTGCATCGTTGGTGAAAGTGGTTGAGATATATTAGTGTAGTAATTGTCTTTCTTCAATTCCTCTATGTACTTTCTTAGTCATGTACATCTGCTCTTTAATTCAAGTCATTACCTTTGCTCCGACTGTAGTAAAACGATTACTATGTATTCATAGCTGTATGTGTTATGGTGCTGTCCCTTTGTGGTTGCATGTTTGAATCTCCATGTAAAAGGTTTCCAGTTAAGGCCCTAAAATCTCAGAGATTTATACTCCCTCCACGATAGTGCCAGTCAATACTTCTTTGATGATGTATATGAGCGGTCATATCCATGAAAAGTTATGTCTGCATTTACCGCTGTTGCCAAAGATGGCTAGGCTTGTGCCTCAACTCTGGTGAAAGCCAAAAATTCATCATAGCTACTTGCCTCTAATAGGCCTTTTACGATGATAGCTCTTAGGAAATTTGCCCAATCCTAGGTGCTGGGAGAAGTAGAAAGATATCCTGTATCTCTGCGTCCATCCACTCTCCAAGACTCCTTTTCTTTGGAGACCACCACTTTGGACACTGACACCCTCGACACCAACACCTTCCCCTCACACTCCCATCTCTTCTCCCAAGAACAAAACGGGACGTGACGCACCTCAACAGCCCACTACCTCCGCCACCCAAGCACAATAGACTGGCCGGCGCTGGGCTCCACACTCCAGGATCTCATGTCCGAGGCATCGCAACAGGCCAAAGAGGCACTCAACCGCGCCTGCGAGGGCCACGATGTGGTTGGGATGGGGAACCGGGCCGTTGATCTTGTTCCCAGGGTTTCCGTGCCTACGATGAGGCAGGTGGATCGGACAGTGGATCGGGCGGGAGATGCGGTGCAGGAGGTTGCCGGGGCGGTGGTTTCAGTTTGTGCCGCTGTCGTGCGATGGAGTGTTGCAGGAAGGAGGAGGCGAAGGTGCTTAGGAGGTGTTTGTGGGGTGGATGGGGAATTGAGCGGCTGATGCTCTTGTTTCTAGAGAGGGGCATACTTACGCCGTTGCAACGCACGTGGGTTGTTGCTGCGGATGCTTGGAGGGGCTTAGCTAGCTGCTGCGCTCTCTTCTTTGTATAGCGCAGATGTGACGGTTTATGGCGCGGAGATGTTGCGGGTACGGAGAAGAAGCTGTGGACTTGCGGTATATTGAACTAAGGAAGCCTGAAGATGATGACAGAGGAAAGGAGTAGTGAAAACGATGTTCCTCTGGAGACTGGATTTGAGCTGGAATAGTTACAAAAGATGGCTGAGGAGGGGAAATGGGTGGATATAGAACAGTGTGGATATAGAACAGTGTGGATATAGAACAGTGTGGATATAGAACAGTGTGGATATAGAATAGTATGGTAGATGGTACGATTTGCAAGCCTAAATGCCAGTTGCAAGCCATTATTCTATAACCTTTGAAACAAAAGCGTATGTTTGTGCCTTTGAAATTCCAGTATAAACTAAGCTTTCAGGGCATGTGAACGTCTAGAGTCCCATATTGAAGTCATGTCGAGTTTTCACACCCGTGTTTTTACATCTGAATTGCTCGGATGATATCCCTTCAACAGAACACCAGCAATATCTCCTCATTACATATAAACACACAGGCCTAGCCTGATAAGACGTTGTACCCACCCAATCATGCTAAGAATGCCCATAAACCTGGGAGGTACTTTTCATATAGTGTTGAGACGGAGTGATATTATTGCAATCTTTGTAGCAGAGTATAACGAACATGCGCGGATAGTCATGGTACTACGAGGAGGTAGTGCGTTTATCAATATAATCACTAATCGCAATTTCTCTATATATCTATCTCATGCATAACGTAACTCGTGAGCTCCATAAGGCACCATCATCTCCCAACCACCTAACTCCACTTAACATCACCCCCAGCCGCCCCATCAAGTCCCCACCCGCCATACGTATCCACAAACCCCTCTCTCGTCAAATAGTCCCTGTGTTCCTCGCTCCTCCACGCCAGTGCCGTGCCCAGCTTCCAGCTCGTGTCCATCTTGTCCAGCACCAGTTCCACGAGCTGTAGGTTTTCGGGATCCTGTAGCGACGGCTTGGCAAGGATGGCGGTGAGTTCTGCTTTTGTGGTGGCGCGGTGGAAGGAGGTGGTTGGGGTGGGGTGGTGGTAGAGGGGGAGGAGGTGATCGTAGGAGTGAGGGACTATGTCGTTGTAGGCTGCGCGGAGGGTTAGCATTCGCCATCAATGGTTATAGTTGGTTTGGGGTTCGGTAAGGGGAAATGGGTGCAAAAAAAGAGAACTTCTTACGTTGTCGAGCGCCCCAAATTAATCTCTCGACTGTGTATCCATCGTTATTTATGACGAATACGATGGCTTTACTCTTGTTCTTGATCATGGTTCCAATCTCTTGAATTGTCAATGCCATACTTCCATCTCCCGTGCACAGAATCGTTCGTCCTTTCCCCCGTTTTGCCTCCTGCTCCCGTCTGGCGACATCAACGCCTAGTGTTGCTGCGTTAGCAAATCCAATACTACCGTAGTAGATCTGTGTGACGAGCTGCACGTTGGCCGGGAAGGTGATGTCGCAAAGTCCCCAGTTGGAAGTCCCGGTTTCGCCGACAATGATGTCATTAGGGCGGAGGAAGGATTCAATGGAAGGCCAAAGGAAAGATTGGGTCAGGTGGGTTGCGTCTTTGTCGAGGGGAGTGCGGGGAGGTGGAAGTTGCACTTTTGGAATGCTATGGATTGGTGTTGCGGGTAAGGCTGCGGTGAGAGCGGCTATGAGGGATTTGATGCAGGTGTTGGGGTAAGATTTTCCTTTTACCTACTGGGGTGTTAGAATTTGTCTGTTGTGAGATTGCCAGATGGTAGAGGAAGATGAGGACTTACTACAACGTCATGGGGGTTGATGTGTACGGCCATCTTATCATCGACTTTTCTTGAAAACCCTGCAGAGTTGGTATCACATGGAATGAAACCCAGTGTTACGATCAAGTCTGCTTGTTTCGCCGCTTCCTTGACACCTGGTGAACTGACCTCCCCGTTCCAAATCCCCACATATTTTGGCTCTGTCTCATCTACGATGCCTTTGCCCATGTTCGCTGTGAAAATTGGGACATCGAGTTTACGGACAAAGCTCTGTGCTTCCTTTGTTGCCCCGAACCGTTGAACCCATGCATCCACGATGACTGACGGGTGTTTCGCTTCTGAGATGGCAGATACAACGGCTTTGACGGCAGCATCCTGGGCCTCCTGGTCGATATGCGGTTCGGTATCAATTGGTGTATTCAGCAATTTGGCGTCCACCATCTCTGCACTGAGGTCTAGCGGTAAGAAGATGTAGACTGGCCCGCTCTTGATAAAACACTCCCGGATTACTCTGTCAATCTCGGCCGGTGCAGTTTTAACATCCCACAGCTCAGCTGCTGCGTATCGCAGTCCTGCAGAAGCTTTATTATACAACTGATGGTCTGGTTTATGTCCAATAGAATGGTGAATCATCATGTGATTATTCTGCATGGCTCGTGTTGTTTGGCCAACTACGTGGACGACTTTCACGTGCTCGCACATTGCCCCTGCAATACCGTTGAGAGCGCTAAGTTCGCCGACGCCATGTGTGGTCACAAGACAGCCCGGTACGCCCTTGACGCGGGCATAACCATCCGCTGCGTATGCGGCATTGAGCTCATTTTGGTTGCAGGTCAGGTTTAAGCCTGGAACATGGTAGATGGAATCGAGGAACTGCAGGTTGAAGTCGCCTGGAACACCGAAGATTGTGTTGATGCCGATTTGGTGAAGGCGCGTCCACATGTACTGGCCTAGGGAGATCTTATCGGCGGTAACGTCTCCCATGTTTGCTTGCTCTCCACTCCTTTCTCTTTCTTTTTTGACTCTAGGAGAGTGGGGGTGATGATAGAATGCGGTAGCCGTCAAATGTCACGTAAATGAGTCTTTGTCTTTCTGTGCTGCATGGTCATCAGCCTTTGCTTCGCATCATGTACCATTGTCATCAGTTCCAACACATGCAACCCGTGTCGACCTCCAGCGCCACCACTCATGTAAAACATACCTAACAAGCAATCCTGCCAAGAATGATCCCTTCTGTCCAATCAGAGCAAAGTAGCCCTCGTCGATGATGTAGGAACAATCAAGTCAATCTTCAGCCTGAAATACCATGTAGTGTTGGTGTAGGGCGTGCAAGGCATGTCAAGGCGTGTACCAACGGACAGCCGCGGTTCGGTTGTGAGCGGCTGTTAGGAGCGCTGGAGTCGTCGGCGGACTAAGATCACATCAAGTGCGGGGTGGTGGGGGAATACCGGTAGGTAGGGCGCTTCGGAATGAGAACACCTCTCGTCGGAACAGAATGTAATGGGGCATGTGACTAGCAACACAGTTGTTTATTGTATTGCGGCTGTAGAATCAGATGAGAAGGGGCTCAAAGAAAAAGAAAGAAAAGAAAAAAAAATACACAGAGAAAGTGACTTCTACAGTGATGCGCTCGCTGGTGTCGCTCCTGCGAGGGACTTCGCATCTTCAAAGCTGGCCATCTTGAAGTCATACGGCAGCTCAAACTCTGCTTTCGGATCTCCTTCAAAGGGTATGAAATCCACGAGAAGAGAGTCTTTCACAGCAAAGACTGCATCATCCTCAATATACTTGCTCTTCCGGTCGAAAATCTGTGTTATAATCGGCTTGTAGCCAGGTGCTTTGAGCTGTTGCTGGATTAGTCTACCTTGAACGAGAACTTTTCCGGACTGTAGAGTACAACATACCAGGAAGTGAATGTGCGCCGGTCGCATCGGATGTCTGTCAAGCGCCTGGAGTACCTTACCGGCAGGGCCATCGAAAGGTATCGGATAAGGTACCGGCCTTAGGCAGTAGAAATTGTACTTCCCATCCTTGCCTGTTGTAAACCTACCCCTAAGGTTCATTTCTGGCTGTTCTGGGTCTTGCTGCTCGTACAATCCATTAGGTGCTGTGTGCCATACATCCATTACCGCACCCTCAATTGGCTTGCCCGTCCTGAAGTCTGTGACTGTGCCGTGCATCCATGTTCTATCGCCTTTGTCTGCTACATCCTTGGGGAGCCCGGCAACAATGCAGCCGCCCATGGGCAGCTCAGGCGCGTTGTGACGGTAGAATGGACCAAGAATCGCCGTTGCAGTGGGTTCATCGGCGGCGTCCGAGGCAAGTTTGTAAGTGATTTCATCGACGAGGGATTCGAGGCCGAGGACGTCGCAGAGGAGTTGACCTTCGTTGCGCTTATCATCTGACATGCGACCGGCTGCATTCACCTGGGACATGTGAGTGTGTGTACGATGACATCTCCCAGTACTCGCGCGCCAACGAGACCGTGGAAAGAGGGCGTGGAAACGTACCAGTTCGACGCCTGCCATCCATTCATCCACTGTCAACTCGTTCTCTCTTGCGAAGTCATGAAGATGCTGAATCAAGCTTGCAGCAAGTTGTCTGGTGCGTGGAGCGGCCTTTGGTCCTGTTGCATTGATTACAGCCCGTGTGAAATCTGGATTGAATTTGTGCGCCTTGCTATCTGACACGGCTGATGGATGCGATCCATTTGTTTGCTGAGCCATGGTGTGCGTGTCTGAAGATGGAAAACTATGAAATGGTTGGACAAGAAGGTGAATGAATATCAAAAGGTAAGCAAGAGCTAATGCCAGTACCAGATCTGTTTATAAGCTGTTGTATATCGGATATCTACGCAGTATGCTCCATAGAAACCCCAGGCTACCCTGTATCGGCGCAGTACAACCGGCGGGGCCAGAGACAGTTATCATGCATGTGTAAGGCGGGAGTTGCAGCCGGTCGAGGTGCACTACCCGAAACCTGAAGTCACCCCGCTCTTAGCCAATGAGACATGCGATGAATGGCACCATGGCCACATGCACCCAACGAGACATACCCGAGTGCGCTATGTATTATATCGCAAGAAGTAATACGGTATTCAACGCTTCGATTATCCAAATGCTCACATATGGCGCGTGCTTTAAACTCTTTTTTGGGGGGGAAGTATAAAATATGTATTGACAAGACACCTTTGGATGGCACTCGATCACTCGAAACAATTCACGCTATCTATGCAATAACTCCAAGAGGACGGATGTCATGCTGTTACACAGCATTCCAATATAATCAATCGCTGTCATCTTCCACCTTCGCACGCTTGGTGGCCCTTCCCTCAGACTCCAGGATACCATAGCGCTTCTCGCCTGTCTTCTCGCCAGCTTTCTCTCCCCGCACCTCATCGATCATTTGATTGATATTGAACGGGTCATCCGAATCCTTCTCAAACTGTACTGGACCTTCACGCGCTTCTTGTAGGTCAGCACCCTTGAAGCCCTCTTTGGCCTTGCCAAGTACTTCAAATTTGCTAGACTTGTTGATGCGATCGTACGTCTGGCCGGCGTCTTCTCCCTCATCGTCATCTTGATTGATGCTGGGGCGGTAGATGCTGCTTATCGCATCTTGAGCAGCGAAGAGTGGCTTATCGTAATGATTATCTTCGTTGAAACCAGCATTGAACCCACTAGACTGGTTAAACAGTCTGGAGTCATACATGGATTCTCCGCTTTGCGTAGGCTTCGCAAGACCCAATGCGACCTTTTCAGATATGTCACGATTTTGTTCGCGGGCCATCATCTGAATTTTCCGCTCATTGCCCATCTTCGATTGACGCAACTCACGCTGCCAATCCTCGCGGCGCTCTTTACGTTCTGCCTGTCGTTTTCGTACCGCTTCTTCTTCAGAATCAGTGTCTGAATCGCTGTGAGAGCGCCGGCGAGATGCGTTCGCGCGTTCCTCTCGTGCTTGCTTTGCCAAGTTCCGGAGATGCTCCTCCTTTTGCAACTTCTCCTTCTCTGCCAGCCTTTGTTGCATTATAGCACGTTGTTTGACTTCCTCGCGAGCGTGGCGATCGGCTGCTTGGAGAGCCTCACCAAACTGCGCGAACTTGTCGTTGATGGTAATATCTTGAAGTCCTCGACCGTCGGCTGCTAGACGCTTATCCAGTGGCACAGTATAACCCTTGGGGTTCTTCCAGTTACTGATTGGGGGTGGAATCTTCCACATTTCTTGGTCTTCAGCGGTGAGTTTCCGCGGCGGCGAATGGAGAACGGGAGGGGGAGGAGAAGGTGGGCCACGGGGGATGCGCTTGTGTTTGAATTTTGGAGGTTCGAGAGGGTCGATCTGGCGTTGTTGGATCTTGAAGATTCGAGTCTTGCCCTGGGCCTCGCCCATTTGAGCGGTCGGTGTATATTGCACGAACGTCGGTTCATCGTCCTTGCGGCCCTGCACATTCTTGGGCTTCTGTGCCGCATTTTGTCCAGCGACCAACGCCATTAGAGCTTGTTCAGTGCGCTCTTTTGTTGCCTGAACCACCTCCTGGCTGGGACGTGACAAGTCCAGCTCACCAGCGTTGGCCTGCTGCCGCAGTGGTATGAGGTCCTTGAAGCTCGCCTGCACAATCCTCGAGTCACTGTGCCCGCGCCTTGCGATTTCATCGTACTTTGTCTTTCCCTCGCCGTCAACTCGCCTGACGAGTGCGTTGGAACTCGATGGCGTGCCCTTTCTCCCCATATCTAATGGGTATTGCGCGACGTGAACCTCTGGAAACGCGCCTCCATCAGCAAAGTCTTCCGCGGCGCGTGGCCGCCAATTCTGCCTGCTACCATATGGAGGCGGGCCATTCTGTCTTTTCGTGATCTGCGACTCAAACTGCTCTACGCTCAGCACACGCGTGCTTCGAGTGAGCTCTTCTTCCTCACCAGTGTACTTTGGCTTGGGAAGCGACTTGGAAAGGGCCGCGACTGACATAATCGGCGTTCCGATAATGGAGTTGTGGTTGAATCTACCGATTTGTGATTGACGAAGATGTAGCTGACGAAATAATCCGCCTGATCGAGATGGGGGTCTTGGCAGTTTGCTTGACTTATGTAAGCAGAACCCGAGGCCATTGATCACGTGATTTGAAACTCCAAAAGCTGCATACAGGGAGCGCTATAGCACGCTTCTATCATTGGAAGGTTCTTGTGGTAATAATGACCATACTCTTGCTGCTTCCAATGCCCAGAAGACAGTTCAAATTTGCACTCACTGTAGATAAGTGACAACCTCACAAAATTCGTCTATGCTGCTTACTGCGCAGTAGTACCTCCCAAGGTTCTGACCTTGAGATGATGCTTTTCAGTTTTCTCGTTTGGGCTTAACAAACAGTCTTTGGAGGCATAGTTGCGGAACTTTGCTTTCTTGCCTCCTTTTGGTCCGGATTGGCACGGCCACTCAAAATGTTGTTGGTGCAAAGCTTTCTGTAGGTAGTGCACGTGCCTGAGCGTTTATTTGCGGCTGGGCCCGTTGGCCGACGACGGTGGATGGATGTGCGAATTGCAATTCCACAGAACGTTACAGGAAAACTCTTCGGGAAACAAGCTCCTACTACCTACTCAATCTAGCGTTTTGAACTGTGTTTGAAACTAGAGCCACGCTTATACGTTAAAGGCACTGTCAAGTTGCTCATCACTTGTTACCGTGCCTCTATCAGTTTGTAGCTTGGTTTCATCGACACACGCAACTACTCAAACCAGATGGAATATTGTACCTACCCATTCCTACCGGTTCCATACTTTCGTTAGCTGATGACATGGGCAAGCGTAGCCATGACTAGAGGGTACACAGTAAGCCACTGGGCGCCCGGGTCCGTGTTTCAATTTCATATGGGGCGGACACCTTCCATGTAAGACTGGCGCTCAGGAGGACATGGTGAACGAGTGGTATCGGAGATGGACTTTCGCCAGTTTATATGCTGTACAGTGTGTGTGTGTGTGTGTGTGTGTGTGTATACCGTGATAAGTCATCGCCATGATCGCCATCGCCATCAGCATCAGCAATAGACGTTAGACGTTGCACATCACCGGCCATGGCTTCTTGTAGCGAGCCCGGAACGCGGGATTGGCGTCTGTCATTCGCTGGGTGAAGGACTTGTGACATCTTGTGCAGGCCCCTAGCAACAAATCGGTCCATGGTCCACAGAGGACTGGACTACATACTATACTACTACTAGCTCTCTCCAGTGTGATGGACACTTTGCACAGCACGGGCAAGCCCTGCCATCTGTTTGAACCCCAAAGGAATGCGAACTGCTTGGTACAGAAAATAAAAACGTCTTTGCGCTGCGCAGGACACTTGCGGGTCTCGTTATTCTTCTTCTAGGTCGCCATGACAGGCTGAGCCCGTCCTTCGAAACCTTTCGGCGCTGAACCCTGTCTGGTGTGTGCCAGCGCACCTACAAGCCTGCAGCCAGCTTGCCAGCTCCCAGCCATGCCGACCCATTCTCGGAAATCTTCTGGAGCCTCACAACAACACCGCTCTCGTCGTCCATCTTATTCGCACCAGCGCACCAGCACCGCGCCCGATCCGCCCACCCTACTGCGCCTGCCCTCAACCAGCTCCACGGCTGCCTCGACCTCGCCGCGACAGCGACGGGCCAGCATAACAAGCCCCTCGACACCTGCAGGCACCACGTCGGCCTCGTCAGCTACCACGCCCTCGTACTTCTCCCCCCAGCCCACAGCCACCTCAAGCCAGGACCCACGCTCACCACCTGGCGCAAGGCGGCCACCTGCGTCCCACAGTGCCCATGGCATTGACAATTCCCGTGGACCGCCTGTCACACTGGTAACGCGCGGAAACTCTGACTTCTCGCGCCGCAACACGCAGCAGCAACAGCAGCCGCCACAACAGCCTTCAGACTTTGCCTATGCCCAGCAGCAACTCGTGCAGGCAGGCCTCGTCTCACCAAGCAGCTCTCAAGCAACAACAAACCGCAAACGCAGAGAGTCCATGAATCTGGGTCCTGGCGCCGCCCCGCCGCGGACATCAGCAGCACCACCACCACCACCAAAACAACAAACAAGGTTGCCCACCATGTCACGCCAAAATTCGGCCAACACCTCGCGCCCTGCGCCACATCGGTTGACGAGCTCCTCAGAAGAATCCACTGAGTCCGAGTCTGGCCCACGCAGCCGTCTTGAGGACTTTCGTACAGCGCACAGCCGCCCGGGAGCCACAGCCAACTCTGGTGCCAACAACGAGCAGACCGAGGACCTCTTCTTGAACATTGCAGCCGACAGCGCACCAAGACAACGCTCAGTGGAAGCGCCGGCGCGCATTGACAGACTGAAAGTGAGTGACTTTTGATATATTGCACGCATTGCAAGGATACAAGCGCATTGCACAGTGTCGTATGCTGACAGGCTTGTTTCAGTCGCGAATTGCACGTGTAAACAACAGGCAATCACTCCCGTCGGCGCTGCAGTCACCATCACCTGTACCCTCAACGCACTCGACTACACCAACAAACCGCATTTCAATAGCGGGCGACCCAAGGTCAACCGAGTCTAGATCGATTGTCAATGGCCAGCGACGGTCGTCACTCCTTCCCACTTCGTCGCGAGATCGGCAAGAGCGATCCCCAGCTCCCGCGCCCATCATCACCCCCAGGACACGGGATCCTGGGCTCTCGCACAAGGCTTCCTTCTCGTCGCGCAGAGATGCTGACCTCTCGCCTCGCGACTTTCTTGCCCAGTTTGGCCAACGTCGACCATCGAACCCGGATACCTACAACACGCCGCCTAGTCGCACGCCAGTACAGACGTACCGGCCATCTAACCTAAACTACTCGTCCTCTCGCGATGATACACGAGAGCGAGATCGCGACCCTCGAACGCCTCACATAGAAACAAGCTTCGAAAGTGCATCTCGTGCTGACGGGACTGAATCTCACGGCTCCACGGGACCTGCGGCATCGGTGTGGGACGAGCTGGACGAACTCAAGACCAGGATTCGAAAGATTGAGCTTGGAGGCAAGATTCCCGCAACTTCTGGCGCAGCGGTGACCCAGGCCATGGCCGATCGTCCTCGGACCGCAAACACTTCTGCAACGACGGTGTCATCATCGCCAAATCAGCAGCGCAAGTCCAACGTGTCTCCTCCCGAGTCGACAACCAATACGCAAACGCCAAGCACCAACCGAACTCACCCCTTATTACGGGACGCCCTTGCCAAGGCTAGACAACACATCTCGCCTGCTGTCTATCGTGTGTTGGAGGCCACGGCGACCGAGGCCCTAACGCTAGCTGAAATGACTGGAAGTGCAGGACCTCAGGGCACCCTGCATTCCGCCAGCTCTATCCTAGGAGGCTCCAACGTGTCGGATCGTCAAGTACGACGCAAGGCTGACAACATCTGTCGCAGCCTGACAGAACTCTGCATCGCTATGACCGAAAACAAGTCAACGCTCCCAAGCCCGGCCATGAGGGCATCTGCAGCTGCCATGTCACGGCGTCCGAGTGTTCAGATGAATGGAGATTCGCCGACGATTCGTCAAAGCATTGAACCTGAAAGTAACTCGTTGCCTGGTGTTAGTCCCAGCAGAGCACTGAGTCGCATCGAGGCTCGCAGATCGAGCATGCTTGTGAGCGGTACAAATGGAAGTTACAGAGAGTCGAGTCAAGACTTACAGGATGAGAGGCAGAACCCATCTCGACTACAGCGGGCTGGCACAAGCTTACACCGCTCTCGTGGTAGCATCGATGAGGAAGATGAAGAGGAAACAATGCGTGCACCTTCCCGTGCCCTGACTGACTTCCGAAACATACGTTCATCAGAGAAGAATAGGTTCAGCGGTGCCAGGCAATACACATCACGCGAACCGATGCCAGACCTGCAACCCTCACCGTCCCTCCAGACTACGGCGCATCTTCGTCGACCCACTGTCACTGGAATATCGAATGAGAACAGCCTGCTCTTCCGAGACGGCCAGCGGCGCTACGATCTAGGCCGCGAGAGCTTTGGCCGTGAGAGTTCTCCAGCATACGAAAAGCAGGTGGCGGGTGGTCTTCGAGCGCGAGCCCAGCTTACCGCGAATCGAAATCCCACCAACCGCAACTCGATAGGGGGAGTCTCCGAACTGGGTCGCAGTGTGAGCATGGGTAGGCAGAGGCTGAGAGGCAACAGTACGGGCGAGTGAGCAGAAGATCAAAGCGAACAAAAAGTTTTGAGCATATATTGACGATTGTAACGTTATATACCCAGAGTTTCCAGCCTGCTCTCCATCCGCAGGGTGACGCTACCGCGCCTAAACACGAAGGAGGGGGCGGAGACGGCATGACCGATCGATGGTGTAACATCAGTAGCAATAAGTATTGCACCTAAGGCTACGCAAGCTGTCACGGTCTACCAGCAAGTTAGGAGTTGACTGGCAGCTGGCACGACAGAAGAGGCATTAGACGGCGAAGATGACTTATCCAGGACTTTTCCTAATTTCAGGCGCTGAGGCGCACGCAGAATCAACTGCGACTACACTTGACGAACTTTTTCCTTTGACCCTATACCATTTCCCTGCTTTCATAGCGCAGTAACTACAATTTTCCTACACATTTCTTGTTGTGTGTCCGCGAAGAAGCATAACCGGTGGAATGGGCATGGCATTTTTGAT